AAGTGGTACAAGCTGAATTTTAGTAGCAGTGATTATTTTATGTATTGTTATATCTGTCTTCATATGTAAAAATGTGGATTGCTACATTATATACATAACAATAAAGCCATGTATATATATATATATATATTGTAGTACTTGAGGATATTATACTGTGTTATTAGTTTTTCATTTTCATTCTGACATACTAATAATTCATGACATTGTAATAATTTTTTAATTTTATTATGATACATAAAGTTAAATGTACGGGGTCGCAGCGACATGAATTTAGAGGTTACGTATAAGCGGAGGAGGGAGGGAACAAAATGGTGAGAAGTTGAAGAGTGATAGGAAAGATTGCCAAAAATGTATAGGTTACAGGGATGGATGGAAACGGGAATAAAAAATAAAGGGGATTGAAGGGATAGGATATAGATGATTGTGATTTTGAATATTTGTAAGAAGTCTAAAAACACATATTGCGGAGATTTTTTTAAAAATACGACGTTAAAATTTGTAAAAAATGGTAAAGTAAATGCATTCAACAATTTTAGGGGCACAAGATAGGAGAATGATTTTTTTTTTAAAAGGGAACAAAATTAATTGGTTGAGAACTTGAGATCCTTGTTTTTTATTATAGGTTTTTTATATATGGATCTTAACAAAATATGTTCTGTCCAATATTGATGCATTGAATTATTTAAGAAACGCTTTTCATCTTACCACCCATGCTAACTGTCTCTTTAAATGCATTAAAAATTCTGTTACCATGTACATGATTCTAGATTACTTTTTTTCCGAAATATTAAACATCTCTTCTTAAAAAAGTGTTAGTATAGATATGTTTATTATTTTGTACCACAATATCTACCTATTATATAAGAAGAAAGTGGAGTTACTATAGCAACTCCAATGATTGCCAAGTGGATCTCTCTCATTTTGACACGTGGCCCATTCCTTTTCTTTTCTTCATTTTGCTTTGTTTTTTCTTTTGTTCACTTTATTTCCTTTCTCTTTTTTGATTGAAGATAAAGATAATTAAACAAATCCTCATGTGCACTACATGTTTCTTATATAGTTTCTACTTTGTACTCCGTTTTTTTCCCTATCATCCTAATCATTTATTCTATTTTTTTCTCTATTGGATTAGTTGATGCATTTTCTTTCATTTTTCCCCATAATTAACTAAATGAATGATTTCATTATCGGAGATCAAGAATGGGTTTGATATCTCCTTTCTTCCATAATCCAATAATTATGATTCATAATCTTCTACGTTTAATGTCTCTTTTTGGTATATACTATTTGATTTTTTTTTTTGTTATTTTTTGCGTCTTGATCAGCAACCTTTACTTATTGCTTTTCTCACCTATTTTTTCTTCATCTGACTTTCTTTTCTGCCCAAAAGAGGTATGTGATGCTGTGAATACTTTTCCCCAAATCTAAAGAAACATTTTTTTAGTTTTTTATATTTTATTTATTCTGAAACTACTTTTTGATATTTTTATTTTTGGAAAAAAATAAACTAAGGTTGACAACAAGACGAGTGGTGATTACATGAAAAATTTTTAGGCTAACAATGAAAGAATTGTAACTACTTTTCCCTCATAAAATAAATAACACCATTATGCAGATTCATTCTATTTTTAATTTTTTATTTATTAAAATTGTTATTTGATAATAGGGTGATAGTACTACAATAGAGGAGAAAAAAATCTAATAAATGAAAATCCAAGATAAACGATGATCAGGAAGAAAAAAAATGATGCTTATTAAATTACAAATTAATCAGAATCTCTTAATTGATGGATAGGTAATTATATTTTAATTTATATAAAGTTTATTAATTGTGAAAAATGCTTAGAAACTGGATAAGGTGGATGACGTGCAAAATAATTGTTGGGGTTAACAATTTAGAATGTGAAGATAATATTTTATATCTCTTCATTCAACATTTTGAATGAGTAACTTGTATCCATGATAGGTAGTTTATTTTCATGGTTTTAATTTTAGCAAATGATAGCTTGGAAATAAAAGAAGTGCAAAATTAGATTTCAGAATCTTTTACTTAAACTGGTTCTATATGACTTACTCTTATCCTTTTTTATTGCCCATAATGATAGATAATGTAATTAGAGTTTGAGATGATTGTTAGGCATAGAAATGGACATGTCATTATTATTTGGCTAAAGAAGTTAATAATATTTTGTTGATTTGACTAGCTAAAACAATTACAGTTTTTAAAGGAATGCATTTGGTGGTGGAAGTTAGTATTGAGGCTTTTAGCTTAGAGTGTCACTCTACAAAATATTATTAGAAAATTCTATTTTCATTAAGAAGACATATTTGCAATCAAACAAATTGTTGAATTTGAATTTGCATATGTAGATTTACAAATATGGCAATTCATGTTTTTATTTAAACTTGCTATACATATTCTATAACTATTTGGTTAGATAATGTTGTCATCTATTTGTAATACTATTAGACATGATTTAAATGGATAGATTAACTCGCTATTTCTCTCAAAAAAGAAAGAAAAACATGCAAGTTTGTATTTTTTTTTATTAATGTTGAAGATAGTCACAGGTTTTTATGGCTTTCTATATTTTTTCTAATTATTAAAATGTTAGAAACATTATAACTACTCTTTATTTAATTACAACTAAAACTATGCTGCTATTAAACCGATAATGAACTCATAATGGATTTGCTTTGTTTTCTTTTTTGGTATCATTACGTACACATAATATTGGTTAAAAATTCTTTTTCCAAATTACAATAAATTGGGGTTAACTTTATATATGAAATTTCTTTTTACAGCAAATTTTAATTGTTTTTATACTTAATATTTTTCCTATATTTCTATTCATTATGTACTAAAACATTTGTTACTATGTATTTAACTAATGTTCTAGAGGGTCCTGGCTGTGCGTTGCACAGCCGAGTACCTCTAGTATGAATATATGTGGAATGTTATCTTAATTTGAAATATTAACCCGTGTCAACATAGTAGTGTCATTGGAGTTGTGGGAACCCGTATTCGTTTATCGTCTGGACCATCCATTACAGGTGCTTTTCAATTTTAGCTGTTAATGTCCCGAAATTGCGGTTTGTGTTTTTAAATTCAAATTTTTTCATCTTTTCTAATCCAATTTCCCCCCTTGCTATAATGAAACGTTCAGAGACATTTCATTGCTTACGACGCACAGGTTGGCCACAATACTGTTTCCTTAGTCGTCCAAGTAAAACTGAAAAGGGTATGTATGTAAAGGCCAATGAAAACATGCATAGCACACACGCCGACCGTCACTGTAACACTTAGAAGGTACAAGGGCATTGCACGCCCAACCTGGCCACAGCCGTCCAAAATGTCTAACTATTCAAATTTCTAGCGAAGAAAGACGCCTACGCACCTACAAGGCCGCAACACTTAACGGCAAAGCTGTTCATAATCGCGGGTGGGGCGACAGGGATTTTGTGATAGGCTGTGCCGTCACAATATTCGTCCAAAATCCAACTCCAACAGCCGTGCGATGGGCAAGCTCCATCGCTACCGGGCACCGCGTGATGAAGAACACTCGCAAGAACTGCTGGTTGATCGGAAAAGCCACATATCACACATTTTCCTTGCACAGGGGGTAAATGTTGCAGAATCAATGTCGACAATTACTTGTGCTTATTTTGCCCTAAGTCCTCATTTGGTTTATACATATATATAACTGGCTGAATTGGTTCTACATTAATGCACAGGAAATCTATTCAATTTATCCTAAAGGGTCATTAGTCGAAATTATGGAGTGGTGCAAGAGGCTGCCTCGTAAGGTGGCCGCAAAAGTTGTTAGTGCTGGGTTTGGGGATTTTCTGAGCCACTTGCCCGTGGCCGATAGAGATAGGAAGTTGCCTGTCGCACTTGCGGAGCGATGGTGGGACTCAACAAACTCCTTCCACTTGCCTTTCAGAGAGATGACACTGACAACCTTGGACTTCACCTGTATAACCGGTGTTGCAGTGGGCGGCTTGCCCATTCCGTGGGATTACAATGTTAGGAAAAATGCCAATTACATCAAGGAGCAATTGGGTTGGGTGCCAGCTTTTACTTCTGCCGGTGCCATCAGAGTTACCGATATATTGTCATTCTACAAAGACAAGGTGATTGACAAAAACGACGACGTCCAGCTGGCACATTTGACTAGAGCTTTCTTTCTATACATGCTTGGTCGCACTTTACTTAGCAACACGGTCGAAACAATTCATGGCATTTAGCGGCATTTAAAGGTGTCAGTCTAAATAATCTAACCTGACACTTTATCTATCCTCACACTTAGGGCGAGTGTTGTCCCTTCCAATGTGGGGATAGCCTCAAATCTTTAGCAGCATTCAAATGTGTCAGGAAAACGATGCTGCTATAGCATTCCTTCTGCCAACAAAAACAATTTTTGTGATAATCGAAAGTGTCCGTATAGCTTTAGAACATGAGTAGGATATCCAACTTATGAAGGCATCTTCAGTTGTCTTAATATTTGGCTTTAAGGACACGCAGCTATGTGAATTTACACTGTTTTGGACGACATGGCCATTTGTCATTAGTGTTTTTTGAGCTAAATTATGCCGACACTTTTAATTGCCAGGATTTTTTCCCTGTGTTTTTTTATATGGAAGCAACCTGCAATTAGTCCTCCCTGCTGTATATTCCATCAACCAGAATCCCAAGGGACTTGTAAAATTATCCCAAAGAGCAGAATGCATATAGCAATTTAAAAGAAGAAGTCAATACTCAAATATATTTCATTAAATTAAAAGTCGATAACAAGTACTAAAATCGCAAACAAGTGCTAATTAAAAGCAAGTACTAAAATTCCAAACCAGTACCAAAAGATTGTCATTTACAATAACTTGAAAGACTTTCTTGTGCACAAACTAAAAGACTCTCATCCCTAACAAGTTGAAAGAAGTAGAAGTAGCTTCCAAACTTTCCATTTTGTTGAGAGTCCTCAATCATAACCATGAAATCCCCATCATTCTTCAGCTGTTTCCACCTGTGCACAAAGACCAAGGGGATCATTAGATCATCATAGCTAGAACTAAAATTCCAGAAAATCTGCAATGTATTTAAGTGCATATCTCACCAAATGACAAGGCCAAGCAACTGGTGCACCAAGTGCATCTTGAATTGTTTGCTGCAAATCATACGGTCTAATCAATTGCTCACGTGGACTCATTGCAACTTGTATTTGTATTTCACACCAGTTTGGCCCAAGAGCTTGTCCCCCGACCTCATCCAATGGATTCAGACTCCGTAAATATCCCTTTGCCACGAATTTTGTTGGGTCAAACAAACTTTTTAGTGAAACCATATTCCCTACCTAGTAAAGATCCAACAAGTACAAGAATCAAACTCATGCCAAATTCCAGATTACAAATGTGAAAGTTTAAAAGTTGTAAATACTTACTCGAATAGGTCACGTGGCTCGCGATGGAGTTTGGCTTGACACATTGTTAGATGATGATGAAGGATGTCTCGGGCTGTCAATTGGAGAGCCCCTTCCATGTTGAACTAAAACCATTTTCTTCAAGATGGCTATTTCATCATCTTGTCGCTGAAGCCTTTCCTCCAAACGGACCAATGATGACTGTTGTTGAACACTTATACGGTAACATGTGTTACGACTAGGAATGTCTTCCCATAAGTCCGTTGGATTCACACCATCACTAAACAAGCGAACATGACCATGTTTGTCTTGCCCAACCACCTGGGCAAATATATCATTGCGACCAACTGGATCTTGTGACTCCGATGGAAGCTGATTTTTCAGCTCATTCATTTTTTCCTACATAATAAAGGAAAACACTTGTTATTGCAAAAGCCTGTCTGAAAACAATGGTAGAATTTATAGGCTTGTGTTCTCAGATCCTTACCAAATTCTCAGCAACCATGGTACTTGATGGAGTTCCATCGGCATGGGTATAAAACTTATTGAACATTTCTACTCTAGTAGGAGGTCTTCGCAACTGTTTGGCCTATAAGAAATTGAATTTTTTTAATTATAGTTTTAGCATTTAGCATATAATTAAAAAACAAGCTAACATAATGAAACATGTACGAGTAAAAAAAATAGCAACTAAAAAAAGGATGAGATATCACCAAGTGGTTCCGAAGATGAGCAAATGACTTTTTTCCAGTTGTGTGGTTCATCTTCTTCTCCCCTCTAGCTTTCTTGTTCCTCTCACTTAGTTTCTAAATTTCAAAATCAAAAGCAAGATTACAGCATTGAATAAACACAACTTTATGAAGAATGTTGTAGCTGATTTGTACCTTTGCTTCTTCACTTTTCCAATAAGCCCAAAGTTTGATCCATTGCTCTTCCCGTACCCTTATGTCCTTTTGAAACCGAGCTTCAGCATTTGGCACGGTAGGATCAAAATATGTAGCCTTTAAATCTGCCTTCCAGTTTCTCCATTTTTTGCCAATAGATCTTAAGGTCCAAGCTTCTAGTCCCATAGGCAAAGCAAACCTTTCCTGAAACGTAGTTAGGAACTAGAAAATCAACATAACTTCACAGTAATTTTTGTCGAAAGCATACATAATACAAAAGCTATCATTACCTTTATCACTTCTAACATGTCCATTTTAAGTTTCCTTGGCATCTTAAGCCAACTTTCAACATCTATTGGACAATACATACCATTCCTAGTCAAACTGCCCAAGAATTCAGAGAAAGAGGTTTTCTCACTTATTGGGATCCCATTGTCATCGAGTTTAATCTCAATCCGTGGAAGGTCCTTAGGCCGACCCCAAATTTCTTTCATAATTGTAGGGCCTCGGGTTTTCTGATGTACTTCACTTGAATCATTTGTAGTTTCTTTTCCTGTATAAAATAAGAAAAAGGTGCAAGTTATGAACATAAAAAATGCACTTCTGGAATTGGTTCAAACAGTTAGTAATACCTGCATCGTCCGAGTTGCATGACATGAAGGTGGTGTCATTGGAATGTTGACCTTGAGAATCCTGATTTGGATTTTCTTCAGTTGGTACGTGCCTTGTTTCAAGTGGAGATTGTTGAATTGGAGAGTTCTGGCACTGCTCATGCGACTGTGAACCTCTATCAGCTTGTTGAGTAACTTGGTCACCTGATTCATGCATTATTCCCAATGTAGAATTCTGAATTGGAGATTGAGGTGCCCGAGCAGCTTCTCCTTGAACTTGTTCAATTACATTTTCATGGCTTGTTCCAAGTGGAAGCTGCTGCCTTGTTTCATGACATGAGGGAGGTTGCTCAATTGGTTCATCTCTCAATCCATTTACAGCGCGCTTACATTTTCGACCTCTACGGGCCATACCTGCATAATTCACCATTTATTTGATACCAGGTCCACCACCATATATATATATATTTTGGGGAAAGAAAGGGACAAATGTAAATGTGTAGCCTTTATTGAAGCAGATACTCTACCTATAGCAGTGCATCAATCTGGGATAATAGATAAAGTATACAAACTAAAATTAATGAACAAGTTATCTTGACTACAGCTTACACTGCAAGCCGAGTTCAAGCATACTTTTATTGAACTAATTTTGAGTTGCAACGAATATTATTGAATCTATTGTATATCAAACTTGGGCAGTTTGCTTCTAATTATATTTGAAAAACCTTTTTGCTTATAAATCAAAACTTGAAAACAGCTTTAAGAACTTGATTATTACAGTTGGGTCACAAGATCTGCTCAGGTCATGTAGTTCCATTTGAAAGGTTACTAAAAAGCTCCCATGAAAAGTAAAAACAGAGCAGAACCAAAAGAAGTCTATCATTCATGGGGAAACCCCCTACTTGCTTAAATCAAGCAGTCCAGTACACAATCATTTGCTGGTGGAAAACAAAACTAACAGAATAGGCATTTTAGAACCCAATATCTACCAAGTACTAGCAAAGACACTTACAATTTTCAACAATCATACTAGAATCCAAAGCTATCATTTTCATTTGTGACTAGAAATTTCCTCATATACAATCAGCACCAACAATTTAGAAGTCCAGGATTCATGAGGACATGCATTAAGGCAAAGTTTGGCTAGTGGAAATCTAAATGGAGAATCAAAGATTTGTGAGGCTCAACCATTAAGGAACTCAATGTCTACCTTATTGTTTTATATGCTAAGACCAATAAGGCGGAACAATTGTACCTAGCAGCATTCTGCCAATATAAATAAGCAGGAAATTATAAAACATTGCATTCAAAGTTCTACTGCATGCGGATATGAATCAAATAATCAAATACTACATTGTACCTTTCCATTAAAGCACTTTTCAAATTACAGATGAAGCTGATGAGGTAATTTTGAAGCCATTAACTCCAAAGGCATGGAGCAGTTTTCTTTGGTTAAAGCACGTGCCTGGTTCTTCAATATTAACTGCTGCCTATCAAAGCTAATGAAGGATGGTCATTTAGTACTAACTTTTTTGCTGATACCCCATGATTCCCTGCTCTATTGTGGAAAGTGATTCAGTCACTAGCCAAGATATTCTTTGAAGGTCAATTTAAGTTGTTAGAGAGTCTAATTTCTAATATTAGTATAACTAATCTTTACCCAATTTCCTTTTCTAAGCATCCGTTTTAAAGGACACACCACACACCCCAAAAACAAAAAGGGTGAAGAAGAGCATCACCAAATACAGAGAGAAGGAGGTTCTTTTTTCCTTTTTTTTGGGGGGAGGGGGTGGAAGGGGCATGTTATGCATTCTTGTGAAACGAATCACAGGGGAAAAAAAAACAACTGCACATAGTCAGAAAGACATGATACCGATACTTTCCCTATCTGGCAAAGTAGACAGCGGAATTCGTAAAGTTCAAACCTTAATCCAAGAACTGACACCTACAATGCTAAGCGTCACTTCATTATTACAGTAAGAAAGACTGTAACTTTTCGGACTTTGCTGGAAAAAATCACTAACCAGGTAGATTTCCACAGGCCAAACTTTACTCTTTAAAGTTGTAACAGAAAGCAACTGACAATACACAACACTATGTCGCATTCGACAGCTCTCACAAGCCACATTGTCCTAATCTGACAAGAAAGAAGAACAACTAGCATCTCGACCAGGCTTTCGACCTATGCAACTAGAAATGTGCTTCTCAGAAACGGAGAAGGAGCTTGTCAGAAATGGGAATCGAACAACCTAAATTAGACAGATGTCTACCATGCAATGCAAAATTAGACACAAAATACTGAAATTACCTCAAACTATGGCTTGAATCCCTAACTTCTCGGTTTCCCCAAGCTTAAAGATCTGAACTCCAGCTTTCACCCAAGCTTTGAAGCCCTAATTGCCTAGCTTTCACCCAAGAGGCTTGAAACAGAGAGAGAGGGCAAAGGGAGAGGACTAATCTTGAAGAGGGGAGAAGATGTCTGAAATAAAGGCGGTACTAATGACGCCAAAGTAAATTAGTCAAGCCTCTTGAATTTTTCAATTTGCCGCGCTAATTTTTGTGTGTTTGGGCAAAATTTTGTTAAAGCTACATAACAACTAAAAATATAACAACTAAAAATGTTGTTACAACTACATACAATATAATATAACAACTACAAAAATAACAACTAAAAATTTTGTTAAAGCTATATAACATGAATTAAAGCTGAATTTAATATAACATGAATTTTACATAAATATAACATGAATTATAACATGAATTTTGTTAAAAATATCTTAAAAATTTTGTGAAGCTAAAAAAAACATGAATTTAATCAAAATGTTTTCGGTACCCAATTTATTTTATGCTACTAGCAATTATGTACGGCTTGTAGTCTAACAAGCCGTTATTTGAATCGAATTAGTTTATGGAACATAAAAATGAACTTGTGAATACATGAACTTTCCACTGATAAACGTTAGGATTAGAATTGATTGAACATATATATATTCAATATTTTCAATTCCAAAGCAATTGCCATTCAACTTTGTGTTTATTATAAGCTATTAAACACTTAGAAGATCTTAAAATTGAACATTTCACTGCAATTACCGTGTAACTTTGCATTAATTAGAAGTAATTAAACACTTAGAATATTCAACTGACAATCAATTCCAAAGCAATTGCCATTCAACTTTATGTTAATTAGAAACAATTAAACTAGAGGTGTGCAAAATCGAAAAGAGGGGGAATAGGAAATTTTCGAAATCGGTAAATCGGAAATCGAAATCGAATTCAGGTTTTCCGAATTCATATAATTCGAATTTGGTTCGAATTCGGTAATTGAGTTTTTCAAATCGGAATTTCTGATTTCGAATTCACAATTCGAATTCGGAATTCGAATTCCGATTTCGATTTCAAATTCGTTTTTAATATATAAATATATTTTTTATACATGTAATATAAAATTTATACTATATAATATTATTCAATGTTTTCAATTCCAAAGCAATTGCCGTGTAACTTTGCGTTAATTAGAAGCAATTAAACACTTAGAATATTCAATGATCTTAAACACTTACAAGATCAGTTAATTAGAAGCTATTAAACACTTACAACATCTTAGAAGCTATTAATTAGAACTATTAAACACTTACAAGATCTTAAATTTGAACTTTCCACTAATAAACGTTAGATTAGTGGAAAGTTTGATGGTCAATCCAAAATTTCGACAAAACCGATTAAACTCTCCAAAGATCAGTTATGGAGTGGACATATATGCAATAACAATCCAAGTTCGGAATGATCGCTCGGTCGATTCGACCGGTTCGATTGTGTCTCCAGTCTTGTTCACTGGTTAATCCAAAAATTCAATTAAACCGAACAACCTTCAATCAAATATTAGTTATGGAGTATATATACAGAATATGCAATAACAACGTTTGATCAGTATGATGGGTTTGATCGATTCGATCGTGCTTGACCGGTTCGATCGTGTCTCCAGTCACTTTAATGGTTAATCCAAAATTTCGACTAAACCGATTAAATTCGATCAAACATCAGTTCGACCGGAAATTTAGAGAATTTCACTTTTTGAATTGTTATTTTTAAAAAATAATTTTTCCATTGTATTAAAAAATTATTTAAGAAATTTATCGATTAAAGTTTCAAATTATTTCTATTGATCAAAAATTAGAGAGGGGTGATTGGAAATCAAAAATTGGCCATAATACAATGATTCACTACATTAATATTACAGCTTACAATTAATGGAATTGCTTAAAAATAATGACCAGTATTTATCAGCCCATTGGGCTCTTAAAATTAGTAATAGGTTGTTTTATGTTTGGTCTGAATTGATTTGCAAAAATTGCATTATATCTTACACTCAAAAGTTTAAAAAACAAAACAAAGAAATGATTATTGTAATTATCAAAAATAATAATAACAATTTTGTTAAAACATTTAACGAATCATAATCAAACTTGAAAGTGAATTTGATGGATAGCAATTTCCCATAACACAAAGGCATTTAGAGATTGCACAGAACATTTCAATTGAGACCATGTATGGTGTACGGGCAGTGCTTGAATAAACACCATGATCTGCAATTCCGCAAATTTGAAACCATATTTGTCCCTTCAAATTTAGTTGCTGTATACAATAATCAAACGAACCAAAACTCACAAGCTTCAAGTAATTTCAGACCAACGAAATGTAGACAAGTAATTGCAGCCAGTAGTAGAGCCTTAGCAATTGAAACATATAACAATTAATAGGGCCAACAAGCTTAGCAACTATAAAAGATACTAAATCAGATTATATTGGGACAAATCAACTTCAATCCCAAGTCCATCCTCACGAACCCAACTAATTTCCTCATTTTCATTCTCAACAACAGGATTCCAACATCACTTTGCAAATATGTCTCAACATCCATGGTTGTGCCCATGTTATATCCACCTCTTGCAGTGGTAGAGATAACAACTTGCCAATCCTTATCAGTTGGATCTTCCACATAAAAAACCTGTGATGCTTGTGAAGCGAGTATAAATGGCTCAACATGAGGCCTCACATTTGCAAAATTGACTACAGTAAACCCATCAGCATCTTGTTTCATTCTCGAACCATTTGATATCCAATCACATTCGAATAACACCACCCGACGACCTCCGTAAATTAATTCAACAACATTTTTCAAGACGCCGAAGTAAACTAGTTCACTCAAAACTGGATTTTGATCCCTTATACTTGCAAAACTGGATGTTGTTGCATTGACTGTAACACCACTATTCTGCGTTTTTCTTTTCTTCTCAACTTCGTTGGTGTGAAACCGAAATCCATTAACAACGTACTTGTCATGTTGGATTCCAACAACATCTGGACCTTTAGCAAGGAACCTCAAGTCTCTCAACACCGAAACATTTTCAGGAAGTTCTAACTTGTCAATCTGTAAAAAAAAAAAAATGATGAAACTTACTTTGAAGTCCTACAATTCAAATTGTACTTAATATTCAGAATTTTACTTACATGTTCAGCAAACCAACAAGCAAAATTTTCGCTGTGCAAGCGCTCTTTTAGATGCTGTGGAACTTGAGGATGCCCTTCTTCTATCAATCTACGATGCTGCCTAGAAGTACATGAGTCAAAATTGTAATCATACATTGAATTCTACAATAAAATTTTAATGCATCAAGTTGTAGTTGAACTTACTCTATGTAAGGTGTGACAGCATCACAGTTAAATAAAATATACTGATGTGCTTTACTCAAGATATGAGCATCAAAGACTGTTGGCTTGCCCCTCCCCAAAGGATGTCCTGATTCAGAGAATATATCTAAACCCTCTTCAATTTCCTTATGTACTTCTTCATTTCTGCTTGGACGATTGAATTTTGTCTCAACATAGTCCGCAAGATACAACGAGCAAAAGTTTATGCATTCTTCTGCCAAGTAGCCTTGAGCAATCGAACTTCAGGCCTACTTTTATTTCGAACATAAGATTTTAATGTTCCTAGGTACCTAAAGTATCATCATTCCAAACTCTCTGTTTAGTTCCACAAATCAAAGAAAGAAAAAAAGTAATAAACATTTAAGGCATAATTAGAATTACAAGCAGTACCTCTCTACAGGATACATCCAACGATAATACCGGGCCACCTAATTTCACTTCAGTTGCCAAATGAATAGTTAAATGCACCATGACATCGAAGAATGTTGGTGGAAAGCATTTCTCAAGATCGCAGAGTATAACGGCAATTTCACTTTCCAAACGAACCACATCTTGAGGACAAATAACTTTAGAACAAAGCTGCCTGAAGTATCTACTCAATCGAATCAAAGGATAGCGCACTGATTTTGGCAAAGTCTTTCTCAAAGCTATAGGCATCAATTGCTGCATTAGGATATGATTATCATGACTTTTAAGCCCCGAAATTCTTGGTGGCTTTACTCGAACGCATCTTGAGACGTTAGCTGCATAACCATCTGGAACTTTCACTTTTTTTAGCACATTGCAAAACATAGTTTTCTGTTTTTTATCCATTGCAAAGGAAGATGGAGGTAAGTAAACCTTTCCAGGTTCTGTCTCAATGGGATGCAGCTCTTTTCTTATTCCCATTTCTCTCAAATCACGGCGGGAATTATAATGGTCCTTTGCTTTATCCTCAATATCCAGCAATGTCCCCCAAATATTTTCACAAACATTCTTCTCAATGTGCATGAAGTCAAGATTATGTCTTAAGACATTATCTTTCCAATATGGCAAGTCAAAGAAAATACTCCTCTTTTTCCAATTAAAAGGCAATTTCGGATTACCTTTCACAAGTTTTCCAAATTTAATTTGCAAGTCTCCCAATTCACTCACAATCATATCCCCAGTTTGTAAAGGTGGTCGCTTTCCATATTCTTCGGTGCCATCAAACAATTGGGCTTGCTTTCTAAATTTATGCTTACTATCTAAGAATCTACGATGACCCATATAGCAATGCTTGAAACTATGAGTCAACCGTCGAGCATGAGTGAACTTGTGACAAACAGGACAAGCATATTCACCTTTAGTGCTCCACCCAGATAACATTGCATATCCAGGAAAATCACTAATGGTCCACAACAGAGCTGCATGCAATTGAAAATTTTCTTTTTGGGATGCATCATAAGTTTGAATGCCAAAATCCCACAATTCGGTCAATTCTTTAACTAGAGGCTGTAGATAAACATCAATATTATTCCCAGGAGAGGATGGTCCGGGTATTAACAAGGACAACATGAAGTACGGTTGCTTCATACACATCCACGGAGGTAAGTTATATGGTATTAAAACCACAGGCCAAGTACTGTGTGTAGAACTCATGTTGTTGAATGGATTAAACCCATCAGATGCCAACCCCAATCTAACATTTCGACAATCCTTAGCAAATTCTGGATGTAGATGGTCAAAAGTTTGCCAAGCTGGAGAATCACTGGATGTCTCATACAACCATCTTTTGTACGTTTTTCCTCATGCCATCTCATTTGAGATGCAATTTTAGAAGACATAAATAGTCTTTGTAATCTAGCTTTTAAAGGAAAATGCCACAATACTTTTTGAGGATTTTTTCTTTTTTCACCAGTTGTATCATTTTCTGAAGCAACCCACCTAAGCTCGTTACATGTTTCACATGAAGTTCTTTTTTCAGCATTACCCCAATAAAGAGAACAATCATTAGGACATGCATCGATCTTTTCATAACTCAGCCCCAATGTATTCATCAATTTCTCAGCCTCATAGTAAGAAGAAGGCAAATTAGTCATGGCCTCCGGAAATGCTTCTCTCAACAGCTCAACAAGCATATTAAAAATCTTGTTACTCATCTTACCAAGGCATTTTAGGTAAAGCAAACGAATAATGAAAGACAACTTCGAGAAATTTTTGCAACCACTGTACAGATCCTGTTGAGAATCATCAATCAATTTGTAAAATTTTTCAGCCTCTGAAACAGGAAAGTCCCCTTCTCTATTCAATTCATTTGTTCCATGTGGTATCCCAAATACATCATGGACCAAGTCTTGCATGTCATTAGTCCCATTTGAAACCCCAATTGATGTATTTTCAGAATTAGATGTGGCTTCATAGTAGTTTGAAAGTCTCTCCATGTGCTATCCAATTATTATAACCCTTGATAAAGCCTACCACTTTCAAATGATCATATGCTTCCATTTTAGTCACACAAACACCCATGCCGCAATCTTTGCAAGGACACAAAATCAGTCCGTCACAACTTGATCTAGAAAATGCAAAGTTTAGAAACATTTGAAGTCCTGCCTCATATTTTTCACTTGTTCTTGGAAAATCCATCCAACTTTTATCCATACTTTTAATATAAATAAATGTCCTCCAACAAGCTTCCAAGAGCATGAAAACAAACAACTACACATTAGTACTTAGAAAAGGCATAGGTTTATGACACGGTTAGACCGCCAGCAGATATTTATGAAGAAAAAGCATTCACCACAGAGAGACAGTGAAATGTGAAAGAAAGAAGAGAATCTATCTAGCCTTTTATTTTATACTCATAATCTTTTTTGGTCCAAGGATTCTTTTAAGTTGCTATGACTATTCAACTAATTGATCTAGAAACAGGACTAAATGAGAATAAAAAAACAGAACCCATAAGGGTGCTATGTCATCCTGAACTGGGAGGGGGTGGAAGTTCGAGTCAATCACACCTACATAATCAAATGGTACACCATTCGATCTCACCCATCTCAATAACGACATAATATTTGTTTGTCTATTCAATAATCTTGCTCAACAACAATCTGAACCTATCTGTCACGGATGTATAACCAGTATATGACCAATGTGCAGTTCAACAAGAAGTCCATTAATTAAGTCCTTAAATATTAATTTTCATCAACCTATTTCTTAAACTTTTGCACCTGTCTTGCAAAAAGATCATTCCAGTCACCCCATTGCTATTTTGATCTTCATCAAAGAGCTTCCAAGTCGATTTCTATTCATAGCCTAAACAGAGCTTCAATTACAACTAAGTTTCATAGATTAACATTAAAAGAGATTCACAGAAAAAATTGAAAAACAGGGGGAATTGACATTTTATCGAACAGGTTATGGGCAACAGCTTCATTGTGTTTACCACTTCAATTTTGGAACAAGATATGCGCACCTGAAGTATATATCTTCCCGCTTTCCCAATGTAGAGCTCCGTTCTTCAGCTTTTACTCCCTGCCTGCCCTTCCAGATGTCTTAGCCGAGGGATTTAAGGTTGAGGTTAGAAAAGATGAAGATGGTTGTTTGCGGAGATAGCTTCGATTGCTACCAACATTCTGGACTGGCCGAGATAGCTTGTATGCTGAGAGGTGAGAGAGATGAGAAGAAGAAAATTTTCACCAAGTCCTTTTGCCGGCAAAATGAAACTTCACAGTACTTCAGCAAGTGTTTTGGAGCCAAAATAAAACGATGTCGTTTTCTGTGTTTTTCGATTTTTTTTTTGTTCATCTCACATTTTCCAGAGTGTCATCATAGGTTACCTAAAGGCACATTATTATTTGTATATCATGATAAAATAAAAATATTATAATACATATTATTGAATTTATTAATAAGTGTCATGATATATTTACTATAATGACACAAACCAGCAAGTGTCCTTATAGGCATGTCAGGAAAGGTCATTTTTGTTGTAGTGACAGTACCTTTTTTATTTCTCTTTTTGTTAAAAGACAACGAAACACCATCATATGCAACAAAAATAGATTAGGAAGTAGATTAAGTAATGTATATTGAGAACTCATAATCTCTTTTAGCCACTTTAAAATTGACAAATACTAGCTATAAAATGTACTTACCTTCTTATCTATTGCTTTCCAACCATAGTAGCTTTTTGTTAAAATCATCAATTGCCCATTTCTTTATTCTCTGAGGATAAAAAGAATCACTAACTTGGTTAGAAAGATTGACCCTATTTTAGGTAAGACATAAATATTAGTTGAATAAACTAATTATATGTAGGCAAGACAAAATAATTGACTTGGACAATTTTCATTTCTATTGCAGGAACATTATAAAATATACAAGTAAAACATATCAAGTCGGGTAAGATTGAGTACATTCAATGAAGGGTAACTTTACCTACAACCTCTTAAGTTAAAATTACATATGTTGGCAATATCAAGATGTTTTAGACATGTCCAATCGACTTAATAAGTAGGTTCCAAAATGGCATGTCCTTATTTCAAGAGTCATAAAAGAATGACGAGCTACATTTTTTATAGCAAACAAATTTTTGTATAACTTGTTAACTTCATCAAATTAATGAGCCAAAGTACCTAATAGGATGGGAAATCTTACAACTATAGTTTAAAAATTAATAAACCCTACCATAACCATAGAAAATTATTGTTGTAAAATAAATTTTGTCTAAAAAAATTAAAAGAAGGGCAACTAGGAGTGATGAGTGGATTAACAAATGGAGATATATTGCAGGGAAAGAGAGAAGAAATAAGGCAACAAATGAGTAAGGTATGGTTTATTATAGATAGGAAGGGACCAATTTGTGGTTTTGATTTAGACAAAAAAATAAAGAAAAGAGGAATGGGAGTTAGAGATATAAGAGATTCATCTAAAATTGTCAGGAATTGAGCATGGAGAAAAAGAGAGCAGTCTAAGAACAATACAAGACAATAACAACAACCATCTTTCTCTACAAAATATTAAATAAAAAATAATAGAAAAACCAAAAAATTATAGGGAAAGAAAAGATAACGAAAGGGATCCCGAAGAAAAAAAGAATGGAGATCAGTCATTGTTCTTGGATTGTGTGTTATTAAATTCGAACTAGACCAGTCACTATTTGAATTGCGAAGTGGCTAATCCTTTAGTCTAAGTGAATATTAAAACTCAGTAGGAAAAGACTCAATCAAAATCCCATTTAAACCAAAAATTAGTAAAACTGGGCTTTTGTTCGTTTGATTTTTTTTTTTTTTTGGATAAGGCATTTAACACCTATACTACCATCTTTTGCTCATCTTCCAATTCTAGATGTAAAATAAAATATTTTTTTTTACGAATAGCAACACTTCAATATCTTGAACACAAAGATTATATATTATTACCTAGGGGTATTTTAGTTAAAAAGAAAATGACATATTTTTCTCTCACATAAATTACTATAATTCTGTTGATGTGAGTAATATAGGGTGATAAAGTGTAATTATCCAAAAGTAGATGCTAATAAAGATAAAAGAGGTAATGTAGGGGTATGGGGTATTTCAATTAAAAAGAAATTGATATCTCTTTTTCTTACATAAATAACTATAATCTTGTTGATGTGATTCATGTAGGGTGATAAAGTGTAATTAACCAAAAATGAATGCTATTGTATAAAAAAGAGAGGATATAATTAAGGGGAAAATTTTAGGAACCTCCCTAAGATTTTTTATAATATCACTTGATACTCTTAAACTTTGAAATATATTAATAATTTTCATCATTTTAACTTTTTTCAATCATTATTAACCTATTTCAAAATATAAGACAAAAAGCAAAAAACTTTTAATTTTAACTTTTTCAATCATTATTAATCTATTTCAAAATATAAGACAAAAAGAAAAAAAACCTCATTTTGGATATAGAAGATAAGTCCTTTTTTTATGTCTAAAGATCTTGTGGTCTAAAGATCTATGTGACAATTTTCATTTCTATTGCAGGAACATTATAAAATATACAAGTAAAACATATCAAGTCGGGTAAGATTGAGTACATTCAATGAAGGGTAACTTTACCTACAACCTCTTAAGTTAAAATTACATATGTTGGCAATATCAAGATGTTTTAGACATGTCCAATCGACTTAATAAGTAGGTTCCAAAATGGCATGTCCTTATTTCAAGAGTCATAAAAGAATGACGAGCTACATTTTTTATAGCAAACAAATTTTTGTATAACTTGTTAACTTCATCAAATTAATGAGCCAAAGTACCTAATAGGATGGGAAATCTTACAACTATAGTTTAAAAATTAATAAACCCTACCATAACCATAGAAAATTATTGTTGTAAAATAAATTTGGCTAAAAAAAATTAAAAGAAGGGCAACTAGGAGTGATGAGTGGATTAACAAATGGAGATATATTGCAGGGAAAGAGAGAAGAAATAAGGTAACAAATGAGTAAGGTATGGTAAAATTACAACAGAAAGGAAGGGACCAATTTGGGGTTTTGATTTAGAGAAAAAAATAAAGAAAAGAGGAACAGGAGTTAGAGATATGAGATATTCATCTAAAATTGTCAGAAATTGAGCATGGAGAAAAAAGAGCAATCTAAGAACAATACAAGGCAATAACGAGAACCATCTTTTTCTACAAAATATTAAATAAAAAATAATAGAAAAATCAAAAAATTATAGTGAAAGAAAAGATAACGAAAGGATCCTGAAGAAAAAAGAATGGAGACCACCGATTGTTGTTGAAGTATGTTTTATTAAATTGGAACAATACCAGCCACCGTTTGAATTGTGAAGTGGCTAATCCTTCGGTATGAGTTATAGCAAAACTTAGTAGGAAAAGATTCAATCAAAATCCCATTCAAACCAAAAATTAGTAAAACTAGGTTTTCGATCGTTTGATTTTTTTTTGGATAAGGCATTTAACACCTATATTACCATCTTTTGCTCATCTTCCAATTCTAGATGTAAAATAAAATAATTTTTTTTACAGATAGCAACACTTGAATATCTTGAACAGAGAGATTATATATTATTACCTAGGGGTATTTTAGTTAAAAATAAAATGACATCTTTTTCTCTCACATAAATAACTATAATTTTGTTGATGTGAGTAATGTAGGGTGATAAACTGTAATTATCCAAAAATAGATGCTAATAAAGATAAAAGAGGTAATGTAGGGGTATGAGGTATTTCAATTAAAAAAAATGATATCTCTTTCTCTCACATAAATAACTGTAATCTTGTTGATGTGATTAATGTAGGGTGATAAAGTGTAATTACCCAAAAATAAATGCTACTATATAAAAAAGAGGATATAATTAAGGGAAAAATTTCAGGAACCTCGCTGAGATTTTTTATAATATCACTTGATACTCCTAAACTTTGAAATAGATTAATAATTTTCATAATTTTAACTTTTTTCATCATTATTAACCTACTTCGCAATATAAGACAAAAAGAAAAAACTCATTTTGGATAGAGAAGATAAGTCCTTTTTTTTTTATGTCTAAAGATCTGTGGTCTTTAATCCTCGTGTGTTTGATTTGATGGTTAACCAACAAATAATGAAATGGACTAATTTTTTTTTTTTTTTGTCAAATAAAATGGACTAATGGATCATATACTTGAATGGTGATGATAGAAAGTGACAAAAAATAATGAAAACCCAATGAATATGAATGCTACTGAACTCAAAAGAAATAAAGAAGATTCAAGAAATGAACTATACTAGTTAGCCATCAACTATACTAGTTATGTTCAAATCAAATTTAATCTCGTTCATCAACATGGATTGACAATGCTACAAAAAGTTTAAAATTATAGGGAGCTCAGGGTGATTTCTTCAAAGTTCATAGATGCCGAGTGATACTATCAAGAACCTATGGGGAGGTTTCTGCAATTATCTCTTAAAAGCCATACAACGGTGTAGTAGTAGTACACTCCGCAACAACAGCAGTTCCTCGAAGGAAAAAATAAAAAGGAAATTTCTGTCCCCTGCATATCCTACTAAAATTATCCAAAAAAATAAAATAAACATAAGTAATAAAATAAATAAAACACCTTCTCTTTCACGGACTCTCGTTTCTCTCTCCCTCTCTCTCTCTCTCTCTCTCTGAAAAAAAAAAAACCAAACCCCAAAAATCTTCTCTTTCTCCCCATCCAATTTCTTTTATGCGGCGCTGCTAAAAACCCTAGATCCGATCGCTTCCTTTCTCTCGGTAAAGAAATTGGAATCATTTTTCTTTTTTGGTTTTGGAATTTTATTTTAATTAATTGGGTTTTTAAAGAGGAAAAGCAGCGAAGAGTTTCTGTTTCCTTTTCTTTTTTGACTGCGCCGCAGCCATCGACGCCGCCATGGTGGGTACTTTGCCGCCGTCCCTACAGTCACAGCCCCCTGCTGCTTCATCTTCTTTGGCACCGGCGGGGGCGGCGGGAGCAGGAGGGGTGGTAGCAACCACAACTGTGGCTGCAACGTCATCTGGAGGAGGAGGAGTGGCGTTAGCTGAAGAAGAAGCTTTAAAAAGAAATACCGATTGCGTTTACTTTCTCGCTTCTCCGTTAACTTGCAAAAAGGTCTGATTTCGTTTTTTTTTTTTGGAATTTAAATTATTTGATTTGTTTATTTTTTTTCTGTTTAATTGTACGTGGATCTTTGTAATTGAGTTGTTTTGTGGAGTTGGGGTTTGAATTGGGTTATTTATCTGTGGATCTTGTTACTATTAGGCTAATGACTAACACATAAAAGAAACCCTTGTCAATATTGAAATACCTTTTCAATTTCAAGATTTGGGATATTGGAATCTCCTGTTCACATTTCTGCAAATTAATGTGAATGTGTGGAGTATTCTGTGGCGTTGTTGCAGGGGTTCTACTTTCTGTGGGTTTTTCTTGCGGGCATGTAAAAGCTGGTGTGCATTGTAAATGTTGGATACTGAAGGGAATTCTGTGATTTTCCTGATTGGTGATTGATGCTGATGTAGTTTCAGTTACTTCAAGCAAAAAGATTGCATCTTTATGTGTTTATATGCAAATATCTTGGAATTCCTGGTTAATCAATGTTTAGGAATTGAATCTCGAGAATGTGATACAGGTGGCAGCTGTCGTTTGGCGAAAAGTGTGTATCTGTCATTTGGCGAAAGTGTGTCTGTTCTTTCGTGGCTTCTGTTATTCTTATGACTGTCTTGTTTTTGTGTACATTTTCTTCTTTAGGTGGCAGCTGTCATTTGGCGAAACACACGTTAGTTTGAATTGACTTAATTGATCTTACATGATGAGACGTGGAAAAGTACATTTTTGCCTATTTGACCTTTCTGTTTTTGGTATAGTTGTTTTTTCCTGAAGTTAAGTTTAACTGAGGATCTGGTTTTCTGGGACAAGAACTCAAAAAGGACGTTTTACATGTCTATTACTAAGGTTCTCATGTGTTTCTTCTTGAGGCGTTCTTTGGGGGCAAGTTCTCATTTAGGTAGATTATTAAAAGTTTAAACAATTTTTTATTTTCTTATAGTGTTCTTGGTGCTTGATGGTTGTGTGGAATAAAGAGTGGTTGAATACTCAAGGACTTGGACAAGTTTCTGTCCTTCTGATGAATTGCATTTCATTTCTTATGATATTTCTGAGTAAATTGATGACTGTTTGTGCATCTGTTGTTGACAGGGAAGTGAATGCGAGTACCGCCATAGTGACATTGCTAGGGTTAACCCAAGGGATTGCTGGTATTGGTTACATGGGAATTGCTTGAATCCAAAGTGTGGCTTCCGGCATCCTGTAAGTTTCTGCTCTTTTTGACTATATAACTGGGTGTTGTTTACAAGATGCCTTCAAAAGACAACTTTATCGTTCATTTCTTTTTCGGCTTATTTGTTATGTATAAATATTGTACTAGTGTGAACTTTGTATCGTCTGGTACTAATAATGCTTCGTCTTCAGCCTCTTGATGGATTACTGGGAACACAGATGCCAAATCCTGTGGTAACTTCTGTACCTGCTAGTCAGCCAGCTACAACACCAGCAGCATCTGTCTCTTATGCATCCGGTAAACAAGGAGTGCCTTGTGTATTTTTTCAGAAAGGGATTTGTTTGAAAGGTGATTGGTGCCATTCTTGCACGCATCCAATTCAGCCAACAATAAGCAGAGTCAAGCAGCTATCCCTGCTTCAGAACCTCCAGTATTTAAGAAGACTTTTGGCAGTCTGGAGAAGGGCACTCAGGATAAGAAAATTACTCAAACAAGTGTCCCTGAAGTCTGCAGAGTTGACTACTCAGGCAAAACCAATACTTAAATTTGAGTCTGCTCCTGCAAAGAAGGAAACTAATAACAGTAAGCGTTTGCCACCATCAGGTGTTGACAATGAGCTTCGGGGATATAGGCCTGTGGATACTGCTAACAATGGAAACCGAGTCAGCTGACCACTCATGTGCAGCAGCAGCCGCCGTTTGCAAGTAAACGATCATACTACTACGTTGAATAATAAGGATTTAGAAGAACCGTCAAGGGAGCCTTCCCCTGGTTTTGATGTTCTGGTGGATAATGAGCTAGGAGATTCTGATTATTACCATACTGAAGATCATTTTGGAAGATCAAGGGATCACGAGGAAATGAATGAATATTATGATGGTCGCTCTGGTGATTATGGTTCATTATTAGATGCTGACCAGATATATATCGTGATTCACGTGGTTATGATTCATATGAGCAGCTTCAGGGCCAGTATGGCTGGGAGCAGCGTAGATCCTCATCAGAAAGGATGTCTGGGGTTTTAGCTTATCCAGAACAGAGGCGATATGTATGGCTGATAGCCCAGATCAAATTGATGAATCGGATTTGAGACATCATTTGTCAAAGCATAGAAGAGTCAATGGCTTAAGGTCCGTCATTAATCATGACTATCCCCATGAAAGACCTGATGAGCAGGTCACCAGGGCTCTAGAAGGGACCTGCGCCAAGATCGTGACAGACGGGATAGCTCTCTTAGCAGTCGCCTCCGAGGAAGAATAAAGATTCCTGGGGCGTCATCTTCACCAACTGATGTAAGTGATCTGCGGTCTGATAGGGAGACAGAAAGGAGAAGGGAGCGCAGTGGATTATCTCCAGGGGGATCACAGGTTCCTTCTCGGCTTCGAGACAGGATAAAGGAAAAGTACAAGAGGATTTCAATAATGATGGAAGAAACAATAGAGGTCTGCGCATGAGAACAGACATGATAAGTGACAACAATATTGATTTTGCTGCTCCAAAAAGTCTGGCGGAGCTGAAAAGTAGCAGCAAAAGTGCTGATGGAAGTGATCAGCAATCAATGGGAAAAAGGAAGTACTCAAAGATTGACTATCAACAGCAAGCTGGAGAGGATCTCTCATTTGAAGGGCCAAAGCCCCTAGAAGAGATTTTGAAGCGAAAAAGAAAAAGTGATTCAGTGGTGTCTGGAAGTGGCATGACTTCTCAATATGCTGAAGACAACAGTCAAAGAAAAGCAGATGAAAGCTCAAAACAGGTAGTTCATTTCTCTCCATCTCAGAATGACTCCAGCCTCCCTCATAAAGAGAATGAAGAATACAAATTGGCATCTGGTGTCAAGAGTGTCTCAGAAGGTGCCCAGTCAGGTGACAGTCAGTCGCTGTCCCATGGTAAAAATGAAGGAGAAGTTGAAGAAGGAATGATTGTTGATGATGCTACCAAGGTCCGAGAGCCTGAAGCATATGATCATGGTGATGAAGACTTTGATTATGAGCAGGGGGATGGGGACAATTATAACGTAGATGAAGGAGAAAATGGAGATGCTGAAGAAGAATATCTGGATGATGAGGATGGTGATGATGGTGATGATGACGACTTTGCCAAAAAGATGGGTGTAATGTACTAGCACCAAAGCAACGGGAGATTTTTCTGTACTCTCTTGCTGCTGTTGGTTCATTTAATAGTGCAAAGCTTGATGAGCTTGTTTAGATTGGCTCTGAAAACAATTGGCAAATTTAGCTGCTCTACTGATTTTGTGTTTAGAAGTAGAGTAATTAAGGTTTTTTCCCCCTTTGTACCGATCAGAAGCTTTGTGTATTTAAGCTATTGACTGGATGGAAAATTTTCATCCTGCTTGTGGTCTTCAGCATCCTTAGTTTTATTATTACAATAGAGGTTCATGACTGTAACATTAGATGGTTTAATAAGGAAAAAGTTTTGATGACTTGTTTGTGTGGACTTTCGCACTTTCTTGCGTAACTATTTTGTATGGTACTTTTATGGACGAGGAGAGTTCTACTTATTTTTCACCTTAGAATCTAGATTGATATCATTCTCACTGCGGTTACAGAACTCTGCTTTTGCTAAATCATCCAAAACTCATCTGATTTCAGTTTAACAATTCGGAATACTGTATGGAAAACTAAAAAGGAAATATTGGTTGAGTTCAAGATGATTAAAAGAAAATACTATGAATTGCTGCATCCAGCAAAACCATCTGATTCAGGATTACTGCTTGCTAGTGGAAGTGTGGAACAGAGCTCCAATGCTTGGCTTAAGCTCAACCAAGGGAAAGCAATCAAGCTGCATGCTTTATCCCAAGAAATTACTCTGGTTGTATAATTTTTTATCTAGCCCCTTGCTATCTTTGCCTTAACGTAAAATACCTCCATCTTTGATGCTGTAAGTTATCCTCCTTAATAACATAGTTTCTCTAACTTATGACTCTGAAATTGGAGACGGAAGAAGACGGGGAATGACAAAAATATTAGCATTTTCGTGGTGCTTAGCTTTATGTCAATGCTTTGATTACATGTGATCCCACCAAAAGCAGGGATGATTTGAAGTTCACTTCTTCTGAAGTGTGGTGGTGTGGGATAGGTTGGGTAAGAAATTTTTTAAAATTTTAAAAAATATCCCAATAAAATATTAAATTTTGAAAACACCTCGATATACATTTACAATGATAAATTTTTTATATACAATACAACAGTGTAATATTTTAAAAATATTCCCAAAAATACTTACCATACAATCTCAAATTCAACTTACCAAAACATTAAAAAAAATAAAATAAAAATAAAAATCTAACTCCCTAATTTTCTTCTATCTATTACCATCACACGCTACCACCACCCATCGCCACCAGTACCATTCCCCTCCTTTTTCCTCTATCGCCACCAAACCCCCTTTCCCCTTCCTGTTCCTCTCTCTCCTTCTTCTTTCTCTCTCCTCCTTTCTCCCCTTCATCTTCCTCCCTCCTCTTCTTCTCCTCCCCTACCAACGCATCCTTTTCCTTCCCCGGCTGCCATGAGGGTTTGTTAATAGGCTGGTGAGTCCAAGACGGCATCGTGATGGGATTTGCCTAAGCTGATGAATATGAGCCATATGGAGAAGTTTGATTCTTTTGACCGTTAAGAGATCAAGGACCCTACCGCCCAAGACCCAAATTGAAGTCAAAACTATTTAAGGAGCCCGATTTGCTATTGGATTTTCCGTAGTTTGAATTCATCTTCCTTCTCTAAATGTGAATTATGTTTTGGAAATTTGGGTAAATCAAACCAAATACAAATCAAAAAAACAAACACTAAATGTAGATGATCTGAAATTATAAATCAAACAATGAACTAAAAGAAAAGAAAGAAAGAAAGAAGGGATCTCGAATGGGTTCAATATATACTTGAAGGAATTAAAATTGGAATTGAAACTGATATTTATAGAAAGATGCAAGAAAACGTTGGACCGTGTAGGGCTGAAGGGAGAGGTTTGGTGGGAGAAGAGAGGAAGGGAGAGGAAGGAAGATGAAAGGGAGGGAGGAGGAGAGAGGAAGAAGAAAGAGATGAAGGAAGGAGAAGGAGGGAGAAAAGAAGGGATTGGTGGCGGTGCTAGTGTGGGATAGGTCAGGGAAGAAATTTTTAAAAATTTTTCAAAATTCTACAATAAAATATTAAATTTTAAAAACACCCCAATATACCACCTACAGTGATTAGTGTTATTAATTGTGTTGAGTCGAGTCGAGTCGAATATTTGATTATTGAACTTGATTCGTGCTTAGTTCGAGTCAGGTTCAAACTCGTTCAACTAAGCAGACAAGCCTTGAAATGTACTCGAACACTGTAGACACCAAAATTTTGTCAATTTTTAATATTTTCTTCGATTTTTTTTAATTTAATGAGTTATTTATTTTCTTGCATTTTCATGTGTGTTTTTCTCATTTTGCAGGTTTGTTTTAGGACAAAAAAAAAAACAACAAAACAAAGCAAAATAGCAACAAAAAGGAAAAAAAGAGAAAATTGTTATGAAACAACTAAAATGTGGATGTCCCTTTGTATTTCCAAGAGGATTAATTCTTGATTTATGGCTACATTATGTATAGAAGTTACAAACCATAAATCTATTCATGTAGTGGAGAAACCGTTTCAAGGTTTCTTCGTATTCTTGTAGTAGTGGGTGTTTAATAGGATTAATGTACCTTTAATCTTATAGTACCTATATATAGAGGTACATCGACACCCTTTGTAAGGACTTTTTGATTAGTTGGAATATAAGATAATCACTCTCTATTTCTCTACTTCTTTCTCTAATATCTCCAATATTTCACTTGATATTATAGTGGTTTATGTTATTAGTTTTACAACACGTTATCAGCACGAGTCTCTACTTTTGATTAAAAGGTGAAAACGGAGTTTTTACCTTGAGCAAAAGTGAAATACGAGATTCTGCCCATGTTTGTTTTTTCGCCAACATCTGTTTATTTATTGAGGTAAATTTCTAACCTATAAATTTATTTCAATTTCTTATGGCTAACATTTGAATGATAAAAAAAATACAAGTGTCTATTGCTGAGCAACCACTAAATACAAACATATACTGTTTGACATCTTTGATATAATATTTCTCCTTTTAATTCTACTTATTTATCTTTAGAATTATTTGTTATAAATACTTATATTCTGATGCAATGAATTTTGGAGATGCTATTATAGAAAATCAATTGTGTTTGAGAATTCACTTGTCCTTTGAAATATTTAAAGAAAAAGATTCGATCACTTGAAGATGGTCGTTCTTTAATAAAAAGATTTGGCCACCAGAAGATGGTTATTATTTCAAAAGCCTGGTATGATAAATTTACCTATGACTACAAGAACATAATTATGCAATTTTTAGAATTACTTCTCAGTTGAAATTGTGTCGAAAAAATTTCACTCATAAGATATATTGAAAATGATCCTTTCCACAATTGATTTCTCGAATATGCTCCTGTAGTAGCAATATTAAGAGAAATTTTGAGAAGTATTTTGTACTTATTGCATGCTAATTCTAGTCCATTCCCAGAAGTGAATGTGATTAAATTTCAATTTATTAGTTATGGTTGGTTGTTGCCATGACTATGATTTTGGTAAATATATATTTTACCATTAAAGAGAAAAAGTTGCCAATTTCAATTTATTAGTTATGGTTGGTTGTTGCCATGACTATGATTTTGGTAAATATATATTTTATCATTAAAAGAGAAAAAGTTGCCACTTGAAGTGGGATAATAATGATAAGGACAAGAAAATAAGTGTCCTGAAGACAAATGTCCCGAAGTACATTTGATAAATAAAAATTATAATAGCATTTTCACATGGCCAATTTCTTTAAACACTCTGAAGGTGTATGATAATTGATTTAATTAACTTTTCTTCCTGAAGAAGAATTGCATGTTAAATATTTGGGATCAAAGGATTATGGTGATGATATTTGTCCCATAAGAATTATGGTGATAATGATCTGTGTTTCATTAATAAGTGCTACTATATACACTATATTCCAATAAAAGAGACAAACACAATCAGTGGTAGTGTTTAAGTGATTGAAAGCTCCAGAAGAGCCACTGATATATTTCTCCTTGTAGGAGAAAAGTTAATGATAAATAAAGCACTACTTTTTACGATGTCTCGAAAAATTTATTAAATTTGAATATCCGTCAAAATGGATATCAAATTGAGACACTAAATGAGAGAGATCATGTTTAGAAATCAAATGAGATAAATGTTGATTATATCATAATAATCATTTGAGAGAGAAATGATTATCGATATAATTGTTTTCATTCTCATTTGATTTATAATCATCACCTGCAGTAAACCAGAAGTTTACTGATCCCAACGGATATATGATTTGACAAAAGTGAAAATATTTGAGAGCCGACAAATATTTTTACATACCCCTTTATATTATATATGGCTCCAAAAAAAATTTAAAATTTATGTCGGGTATGAATTAGTTTTTACGATTAAATATCGTAAAATATTGACAAGTGATCTATTAAATGATTTATTTATTCTGATGAACTACGATTCCCGACATTAGGGGGAGAAAAAAATCAACCGAAAGGAAATCATCTAAAAAATTAAATTTCCTCGATCCTCAATAATGTGAACTAGAAGTTCAAAAAATTCTTCATTTG